AAGAAAAGACTCTTCTGTTGCTGTGTGCTCTCGTTTGCCCTGTCTCGTGGCTGTGTTTGGTCCACATCAGGGCCAGTTTTTGGTTAATTTTCCATTTCTGAATATTTTCTAAAAATACCTGTCTTTTATTCTTAAAAAAATACAAAAAATATTCTAAAAAAAGAAAAGACTCTTCTGTTGGTGTGTGCTCTCGATTGCCCTGTCTCGTGGCTGTGTTAGCTCTACATCAGGGCCAGTTTTTGGTTAATTTTCCATTTCTGAATATTTTCTAAAAATACCTGCCTTTTATTCTTAAAAAAATACAAAAAATATTCTAAAAAAAGAAAAGACTCTTCTGTTGGTGTGTGCTCTCATTGCCCTGTCTCGTGGCTGTGTTTGGTCCACATCAGGGCCAGTTTTTGGTTAAGTTTCCATTTTTGAATATTTTCTAAAAATACCTGTCTTTTATTCTTAAAAAAAAAATCAATAAATATTCTAAAAAAGAAAAGAATCTTGTGTGCCTGCCTGTGTGTGCGTTTGGGGGGGGGAGATGATGAATGTGGAACATTCAGGGACAGTGATGGAAAGACTTGAACATCCAGGTTTTCTCGAGCAAACACGCAATACTATCCCCTTCTGTGTCCCACAGAATATTTACACTGAAATATAAATCATATTTGTTAATGGAAGCCAAGCCACTTAACTGCAAAACACATTGTACTTTTAAATATATAATTGTAGTGATTGTACACAAAGATAATCATGAATTGTTAAAGACATATTTCACCACTTGAGAAAGCACCAATAGTAAAAGACATAGTTTGACCTTCATGTTAAATGTTAGAGGTGCCAATGACAAAACTATTGCCTAAAGTAGCAAAGTAACAATAAAGTTGGTCCCTGAGTTGCAAAATAACTTAACAGACTTGCTATGTATTTAGAATTGAAAGGTGTATTTAGAATTGAAAGGTGGAAGCCATTTTTTCTCTGTCATTGATTCACCTTGCTCAACATATAACACAGATATTTTGAGCAAAGTGTATTTAATTTGTCTATCATCATCCATTAAATCCATTTTGACTGAGATTATGAGATGCTAATACCTTCTCTTTAATTATTTCTTTTATAACTAGGACCTGAAATTATCTCTTTATGGAATTAAATCTTCTTATATCTAATATTTAAACTTAAATTGTGGCTGCACTCACAATGGAAAAACTATATGAGCCAAACCTTACCAAATAAGTATAAAGTAAATGTATATACAATCACAAATGTGCAGAAATGCTAATGAATGGATTTTTGCTTAGGATTTAAGTCTATCTATTCTGCCACGGTACACCAACTTTATGCTGGAGCAGCTGAGGAGATCAAAATTTAACTTATTGTTTTCTCAGCATAAAGTGCCTTAGGGGATCAAATTTATGACAGTAAATGGCAGTCCTGTCAGTCTTGCTCTTCTTCAGTTTGTTTGCTGTTCTGAGTCACTGGTCTGAAGATGCATGGAATTGAAAAGGGGGGAAATGAAAAACACCTTGAAAACTTTCTCTATGTGTTTCATTCAGAATTTCAATCTGGGGCCTGAAATTGACTTCCAATGGTGTTTAAACTATTAGTGTTAATTATGAGGAATAGCAGAAGAGTTGGAGGGCTAAATGACTTCTCATTTCAGCACAATGTGTGGGAAAGACATGCAGTATTCCTATCATCAGCTTGTATTATGAGAGAATACAACTAGATTCTGCTTAATTTTATAAGAACTAGACTTGGAAAAGTTGTGGGGTTTTTTTTTACTATGTCTTCTAGAATTCTGTATCCCGCTGTCTTTGTTATCCCGTTTCCTCAGCCTCTAATGCAAATAAGGATCCTGGGCAATCCCTAGCATTCCCAGACATGTATGACAAAATGTTCTAAAACATATCAGAAGCTAGTGAAGTTATTTACCATTGCTGTAATTCCCCTTACCCACTGCAGGCCTATGTTGGTTACCAATATGGCCACTATATTATACAGCAGTTAAAGTTTCAAAATCATTTTCAAACAAACATGACCATAAGAGTTGTTGTCTTACAGTGTGGTTGGCTCACCAGCATTGGTTCCATTTAAAAAGAGGTTGGATGGCCATTTCTTAAGAGTGACTTAGCAGTATATTTCTGAATGGCATGGAATTGAAGTAGATGTTCCTTCCTTCTCTATGCTTTCCTGAACCCATGAACATTCAACTGCTATGACAGAACCAACAAATATAAGTATGAATAGGCAATGTGTCAGAATTATTTCTGTTCTGAGGTGATGATATTGACAAAAGTACCTTTGGACATCTGAAGCAGGGAATCATGCAGCTTACTAGATGTCATTGGAAGGTGAATCCCAACAGCTGTGTTCAGCACAATATTTATTTATTTATTCCCTATCATTCTCTGAAAGCAGAACTCAAAGAACCATAGAGAAGGGCTCAGAATAGCAAACAAAGAACATCTGGAGGGGCATATCATTCCCATTATATTGATACTTGAACTGTGCTAACCTTGTAATTCATTTCATATTTGTATCTTATATACCCAACACTTGTTTAAAGTTTTAAAATTTATAATTCAAATATATTTCATATTTTACATTTTCAGTCACAAGTTCAAGTTAAAGTTTAATATTTCATTTGATTATATATATATATATATATATATATATATATAGCCTGTGTGCAATAAACTATCATTGCAGGTTTTAGCACTAGAAGCTTAAAATGTCTGACTTTGAAGGTAAAGAACCTAATTAAGAGAATAATTCTAGTTCAGATGGGCCATCAGCTAATAGTTGATTTAATCAAGGATAACAGAAGAAAACTTGCTCAATGACATTAATGTTCAAAGTTTACTATTAATTCCTTTTACATAAATAAGTAAAAAACAGTTGATTGCATGGCTGACATATCTAAACTCATTTTAAAAAGAGAGCAAAGACCTGGCCCAATAACAATTTTACCACTCTTCTGTAACATTATGTCCTCAAATTAAATAAAAAATGAATGTTAAGTGTCAAAGAGTATGTTCACTTTATACAACTCAAATAACCTGCCATATGAGCAGATACTTTGATTAAAGCTCTCAATGTTGGATGTGTCAAAATGTTTATTCCCTGGACTGCACTCTTCCAATATTTCTGATCTGATATGTAGCCATCAATCAACAAACTCATAAAATTGTCAATACTACAGCTAGGCTTAAAATATTGAACAATGAGATCTGTCCTTGTCCTTCATTTGTCTTAATTTATATGAGTTCTTTTTTTATTACTTCAGCCAGCAATGTTTCTATCACTGCTTGTAAAAAGTACATGTACAATACCATGCCTCTGTTGTGTCCTTTTGTAATTATGCCAGTAAGTAGCAAAGACAAGTGTTCACATAATTTAAAAAGATTCCCATTCCCAATTTCCAAATTGAAAGTTCTTAAGTATGCCACTTAATTTTTTAAGCATGTCTCTGTCTTCCACACTGCATTTGATTTATTTGTATAGGGATATAAATCTTTAATCTCAAACCACATGAAGTTGAGCATAGATCTAGAATACACAAGCATTGGGCTTTCAGTTGTTGCTACAAAATCTCATGATTTCACATTCCTCTTTATAAACAAAATGTTGCACCTTATTGTATGTCTTTGGTAATTAAAACTAAGTTTATTTTTAGTCTCAGAGTCAAGTGCATATTTAAATTGGAGAAGACTCATGTCTCAGCCAATCAAGTTGATGTTGTGCATTGTGCTGGGAACACTTTTAAGAAGGAGAATGGAGAAAATGTTAATAAAATGTTGCCCATTGCAATTAATTAAGAGTGATTGTGAAAATAATGACTCAACGCCACATCCGTATTATGTAAAAAAGTTTTGGAAAGAGTCTGAAAGACAGAATTCTCTGATCAGGGATAGAAATAGTGGGAAGAAATTCCATGCAACAATGTAGCCATATTGAATTTATTAATTTATTGCAGATTTAGGGGCGAGCTCACAAGATTCCTTTAAAAATACAAAGTTTATTATCACTTTAACAAATTTTTCATTGACCCTTTGCTCAACCTTGAGATACTATTCATATCAAACCAGACTGCTTTCAAAAATATACAAGATTTACATTAAGCACTATGTTCTTCTACCAAGGACAAAGGCATAAAGAAAAGACAGTGGAATGAAGTGGGAACTAGGTCATCTTTAAATTTATGGCACATTTAAGTTTAATAAGCTACTTGGCAGTTACATCCATAGCACTTACAATACTACTCTATACATGTCTACTCAGAAATAATTCCCATTGAATTAATCTGTACCAAGGATGAAAGAATTGTCCCTGAAGAAAATTTGGGACTGTAACTCCTATAATCCCCTCACCACTGTCTATGCTGATGGCATGATGGGAATTGTAGGTCAAAGAAAGAAAGCTGCATTTGACCACGTCTGCTCTACACAGACAGTAGAAGTCAAGCCTTGGGTCTATAGTTCTAAATAACTACATTCAGAAGTTGTAGGGGAGAGAACTGTAGACCAAACAAGTATATATTTTTTCTAAATTAAAAATAAATAGTAAAAAATAAATGCTGACAAACAGCACAAGGAGAATTGAGCATGGCCAGTAGTCATGGAATATTGTATGCTAGTTATGATATTTCAAAAATTAGAGAAGAGAAATGGAAAAAAGGAATAATAGAGGCTTGGAACAACTTCTGCTTCCATTTTCCATACTTTTATTCAAATAAGATGTGAATAAACAAACAAGAAAGGAGAAAATGTTCTATTCCCATTCCTTGGGCCAGTAATCCTTATCACAATCCTTTTTCATGGGTTTTACAAAATGGATGAACACTTTATTTATTATGCATTTTTGCTTCATTTATTTCCCTCCTTTCTCACCCCACAGGGGACTCAAGACAGCTTACAAAATTCTGGCAAAAATTCAAATCTGCATATAAACACTTTCATACAACTATGGGTCTAAATTCTAAGATCTTTGTCTATCTCCTTAAATTTTAGGTCAAACAGGAAACCATTTTGAACTACCATGCTGTGAAATCTTCAAATTTGATGTTTAAAGAAAAGTATTTATCATTTATTGCCAGACAGATCTAGTGCCTTATAACAAGAGTCTATATTTAATCATAATAGGTAAATTGACACAATAGTGAAACAATTGGATATGGCTAAACAAGAACATGAAATGCTGCATTATTTTACATTTAATAGAATCTATATTTCAATTTTGATACCAAAATAAGTTTTTTGGGAGTTCTTTTCAATTTGGTTTTACCACCTTGAATTGTTTAGTGTTGTTTGCAAAGTCAACCACTCAATTTTTTTTAGAACCCAACTGAAGCTATCTGCCTGGAGGCTTTTTATCTATGGTCTATGCATATTTCCATAGTTTATAGTTCTTCTACAAGATGGTAGAGGGAGGGTTCTTTGTTTCGTCTTTTCCATTTCCCAAGTTCTATGAATCACCAAAAACTATAATATAGATTTAGATGGATTTATAGCACTCTGTAGACACCCAGGAATCAAAACCATATTGGCAAACAAAAGGCTAGTATAGGTTTGATTCCTAGGTATGTGGAATGCTAGATGTGTTCTAGAAGGAAATCAATGTCTATTCTTTAGTACCATGTGGATATACTCTTAAGAAAATGTATAACCAAACACACAAGACACACATTGCATTAAGCTTAATTTGGACACAGGTCAAAATTGTTATAGGGATGTGTCCCACCTTTAACTCCATACTTCACTGTTTAGATATAAAACTATTTCAGACAAACCTGTATCCAGCTCTGTGGCTAACATTTCCACAATTTATAACAAGCTCTGTGTTAAGGCTCCCTCAATACAGCAGATGCTGTCTAACAAGTGGAAATAGTGCTATTGTTCTCATTGCAGCAACATCATCAACATGACTCTTATTGTTCTGCAGAATAAAATAATTGAAGCCATTTATCCTCAGGACATCTGCTATATAACTCTATCTGTTATGGCTGTTGTGAAGTGTAGTAAATAGCACTATGTGCTAGTTAGATCAGAGGAGACCAACATACAGGAATTGATTTTCTAACAAGTAAGCATTTTTCTTCTGGGACCATTGAGCCTATTCCAGCAAAGTGTCATTTTTGGCTTATATATTTACCGTGTAAACCAAAGTACTCAAGTGTGGTTAACTTTACTGAGCAACAAATGTTTGTTCACAGATTTGTTGGCTGTTGTACATCTTCTTTTCAAAGGCCTCTTTAAAATTAAATTCTTATTAACTCATAACCCCAAAGAAAGGACCATAGCCAAAGAGATGACACAGGACAGACAATGGTTTTAGCAAACACATTCCACCTAAAACATACTACCTTAGCTGCACATAGAACATTTTTGTGAAAAATTGAGATTTCTCAAGAAATAGAAATTTTGTGAATATATCTATAGCAGAAATATATTCATCTATGAATTAAATTAATTAAATTGATTGTGTGTTGGGAGAAAGGTAGGATTAATTAATTGCTAATTGAGTAATTAAGAATTAAACCTATGGAATAATTTTTGCAGTAAGGAGAGAAGGGGGAAAAGACAATCGGCTTGCTTAAGATTCTAACCATAAAAAATCATCTTAACTAAAAATGAAGATGAGATTTGGTTAAAGGTCCTGTCTTAATTTATCTGTTTAATTGACTTATTCAAATTTAAATATCAGCTCTTCAACCATAGGGCTCAATTTCTGTTTCTCTATGTTGGACTGTTGCCTCTATCCTAGGATCTTGTCACACCTGCCATTGGAATTGCCATGGATCACCATTGTGATCCTGATTGTGCTCACCCAGGAGTCATGAGGGCCTGTCGCCCCGTGCCCCATACAATCCCAACGCTCCCCCCCCCCCCGGTCTCATCACATCTGGGAAAGCATGAAGAAGCCAGCTCTTTCATTGATTTCAAGGGAAATATTTCCAGGGTGTGGTGGAAGCCATTGGGCTCCATGGCCAAACTTGCAAAAACCCACTGCTGCTGAAAATAAGCCTGTGTGAGGATGTCCCTTGGCTTCATCCTCAGCACTTGAGTACCTAGAAAGATTTCATTTTGTCTTGTCCTGAACAGTTATCAGACAGCTGCCAGAATCTACATTAAGCAAAATGGTATAATACTATGAACAATGCTAATAGAATATTCATGAAAGTTTCATTGTTCCATACATACTGACCCAATGGTTGTTTTCTTGAAAAGGAAAAAAGGATATGCAAAATAGCATTATTTCTTGCTCAGTCTTTGCTAATACTGAGTGAGAAAATTCTAGCATTGGGTTGTTCTCCTAATATTTATTGCACAAACAAGTTAATCAATCAACTCTGATACAATTCACAGTGGCTTATTCACCTCCCTGCAGTAACCCTTAGTAATGGCAAGATGACAGTAAGTAGTTATTGATGACAATCTTTTATATCAATAACAGAGAAAGTAGAGCCTTTTGATACTGAGACCCATACTCTTGTAGGCTCAAATGACACATGTATATTTCATGAATTTTCAGTATAACAGAAGAATGAAGTATTTACTCATAACAAAAACCAGATGACCAATATTTCTTTGTCTGTTGTTTTCCCCTTCTACTTTAAAATAAATTTTGCCTTTACCCATATCAGACTGAATGAAGTTTGGCACATCTCGGAAAGCTATACCATAGAAGTTCCAAATTTTTAAAAAATTAAAAGCTGAATTTTACAGACATGTAACCCACTCACTCCTTCTATGGCTTCCCTTCCCCTGAAAGCATAATGTCATTCTATGTACCTCTAAAAACGTTAAAATAAAAATAGTACAACAGAGAAAGGGAACAAAGATTCAAAATTTGCAAATGATATTTTATCTGTATAGCTATCTATTTAACGAGAATTTCAATAAAAATAAAGCAATACATATTTTTATGGGCAAAGAAAATGCTAAGCAGAAAACACGCCTTTCTGTGCAAATCAACCATGTGCAATTTTTGCACAGAATAAACCCTGAACTGCAAAAATTCTCATGAATAATTGGAAATGTATTTCTTTTATATTTTTTCATTGATGGTACTTTAAAGCGCATAGATAGTATGTTCATTGTCTTGAATATTTAGCAAGCAATTGTTCATAGTTTGGATTATTTCACTGCTGGTATACTACGTAAAAAAACCCAACTTGAATTACAAAATTTTAGGCTATTACAGAAACACGCCTGTGCCTTTTTACACACAGTTTTCAGATAAAAGCAGTTCTCACAGTAGACCATATCTTTACTTTCACAACCATCACATAAAATCCCCTTTGTCTTAATAGCTGTCTTTCTATCTGTCTATCAATCACTGTCTTATTCTTGCAGTTCAGTCTTGCAAAGAAGATTAATACTCTCATAATTTATTTTTCTGATATATTTTCCAACAATGTAATGTTTTAGATAGAAAACCAAATCCTTGAACTTGCAACTCCTAATGATGTTATTAGAAAAGGTTGCAGGGGAGGGAGAAACTTAAGATGTTCAACAGAAGTATTCATCAGCTTTGCTGACATAAATAAAAGCATTGTCAGAGGGTTAGATCTGACTCAAAACAACAAAAGTTCCATATCCATCAGTGCCATTCACACTGTAGCAGTAAGTTGAGATAAACGGTAAATCTATAACTGGTGAGCTGTATTAAAGGTGATTTTTCATGCTTCATGTGTCTTCCTAAAATGGCCTTGGGACAATTGACTAAATGCAAACTCTAGTGCAGCCAGGGTCAATCTGAAATGAGGGAATGTGTTCTTAAACTTCTCTACTTGAGATTATGATGACTTTTTAGAAAAACCAAAACAACTAACATTTTTATATTTCTATCAACTTCATTTGTACAAACTAGCTCATCCTAATAACTCCCACCAGTTAATTATATCTCCATTTTACTGCAAAAGTTAATGCCTTGTGCTAACAGGATCATTAAAACTGGCTCATGTAAAAACCTTTATTATCTGTTGGCCAACCAAGGAATAATAAGACTAGGCAAAAATATGGGATAAACTTTATTAATTATTAAATTATTTATTGTTTTTTGCTCATAAGCAAAACTAAAAAGGAGAGAGTAATCTAGCGTGGGAGTGACTGGAGTAGTAGGTTTTGTTGAGACTACAAACCCCAGCATCCCCTAGATCAGAACACTATAGTCGCTCTCAAATGCAGGATTGCTCCCAGGCCAGCTACAAAAAAACTAGAAGTCTGATCAGAGAGTGTAAACCATCAAGTAGTATGGCCCCCTGAAGAAGGCAAAGATCCAGATATCAGCCCCAAGAACAGCCCCAAGAAATGTCTTCTTTCACCTTGATCTCTTGATACTTGGAGACAGTTCCAAATTCCCATCCTTCACCAAATGTGTGCCAGACAGTGACCCTCCAAACCCTGCCAGAAAGTCTTATGGACAACACTACTCTGAGCCAATTGTGAAGTGAACCCATTGACAGTGTTGGTAGCCTGTGGGTAGGGGAGAGGACATAATGTAAGGGACAAATTCAACCTGGCTCTGTAATTTTTTCCCCTCCCTCTCCTCCCTGGGAACAGTTTACGAATTTTGCTGTACTTGTTTTGATTGTTCAATCATGGCTCTGTAGTGACCAGAAGACTTACACTATGAGAGGAGGAAGAAGGATGGATCGACAATTTCCAAACACCAGGAGATAGAGCTGTGGCTTCCTTAAATAACTTAGCCCCATTGGCATATGATGTCAAGATGCAATTAAATCTAGCCTCACACCATGAAGGACAGCAAATTGATCTCCTCACCACCACCAGTATACTAAGGCAGAGGAAATCAATGTATCTAAAATAGAGAATTGTTCCTGTTGTGTTCCACTTGAAATACTACAGTTCTTTCCAATTTAATCCTTTTGTAATTTTGGCAAGATATTTAGACTCCTCTACTGAACTACTCTAATTCGTTCCTCTGGACCAAAATATTCCATTCTTTAGCAGAGATTAAGACATATCAAACTACTTATAGTATCCTCCCCCGACCCCATACATCATCAACCATCTGCCTGTATAGCCTGGAAAGATACTATTGACTAAGAGT